TCTAATGAAATTTAACAGCATCAAACATAGTATCAAACTTGCCTGTGAGTGTCTCTGAGTCACTGAAATGTCTTACTAAACATAAAACCTAAAGTTTATGGCAATGAGATTCACAGCAGGCAGACAGATTAGATAGCTGCCATTTTTTGCAAACAGGAGATATACGATGTACTTCAATGTGTGACTACAAATACAGATCCAGGCACAGCTATAACAGGTATCTATAGCAGATACCTGTAAAACTAGTCTCTTGAAGCCTTGGCTATAATTATACTTAGAACTGGAGATTAAATATAATTTCACAGGTGTGACGTGAGCAAGGAATGGTGCACATGTTAGAAAAATTTCCCTGGAGTTATTGGGAAAACGACAGCCTAATAGTTTGTATAACGCACTTTTCCTCCCCACTTCTTGGGCAGTCATATCATGGGGCTTAGTATAGCGTATTCTAACTAGATGCTAGATTGTTGGTGAAAGGAAAATATTTGGTAAGCAGAGGAGTAATCTTCAGTGTGCCTGAAAATTTGTGTTTGAAAACTGGCTGTTGAGCTCGTACAGCATTTATACATAGAGGTACTCACTGAATTGATCTTATCTCCTGTGGCTGAACGGACTGAGATCTTCACCGCTGCTTGCCAAAAAAAGTGATAACTCACTCTCTTCTCAATATCCAAGTGAAATGTTTGCCTTTATGGCATATGTTGTCAGGGATCTCACCGGTAAACTTCTGGGGCTACGCTTAGGATAATCCATTTCTCAGCTGAAATGTGTATTCCCATTGAACTGGCTTCATCAGTCTTTGGCTGAAGCCTTTTTAAGAGCACTGAGTGAACAAATACTTTTGCTTGACTGAGCTATTAACCACATACACCTAGGAAGAAGAAACATGGCCTGGCCATGACAAGCTCTTCTATTTTACCTGCCACACTGTCTTTGTGTTCTTATCTCCATTTCTCACTATATGGACCTTAATCCGAAAGCTATGGCTCAATCTTCACTTGATGCTTCATTGTCCTACATAAAGCAAACTGTCAATGGACCATACTGTGGGTTGTTCACCCACTCAGTAAGAAAGAGGATCAAATGGTGTTTTGCTGAGACAGCAAGTGTCTTTACATGTGAGTTCAAGTGCATGCTTTTGCCTTAACTGATTAAACAGGAGTAGTACAGCTGTGAAACCAGACAGAATAACATCCAAGTTCATAAGTAAGCTGTGAGTACATTTAAAAATACAACACAATAAGCTAACAGTTCAAGAAAATGAATTGTCTTAAAAAGACCTTATTTGTGTTCTGTTTCCTGACCTGATAGCAGAGAAATTATAACAAAGTATAGGCAGAAATACAAGTTGCCAGATTAGATTTCTTTAAGAAAATTTAGGAAATACATGTGTTAACTAAGAATGGTTAACAAAAGCCAAAGTACTCAGCATGTCTAGCAATCACTTTAAACCTAAATCTAATGTTCAAAATGATTTATTTGTTGTTAACACTAAATCCAGCTCACTTGTTATTTTTATTATTATTTTGGTGAGAACATTTTTTGCAAAAAAACCCGTATTTTTGATGCATCTGAAACTATCTTGCAAAGATAGTTGAATTTTGTATATAGTTTTATTAGATTCTTTTAACAGTTGGAATATTTTCAAATTTTTTTGTAATAAAAAATTGCTTGAACTCAAAATTGCCCCCCAAAATCAATAAACTGGTAGAAAGTAGAAAGTTTTTTTATTTGATCTAGAATGTTTTCATTTTTTATTATTTTGCAGAGAAAGACTTCTTCAAGTTGACCTGAATAATTTTCCTTCCAATTTCAGTTTACATTATAAACTGAACTCAATTACTAACACAGTTGTAGACAGAGACAAAAGTAAGCTCTTTGGATAATGATGGTTACTAATAACATATGCAACGCATGCACGTTTGTGCAGGGGGAAAGCAAAACATTTCTGCAGTGTCTCATTTCTTTTCTGCTGAAAACTTCCCAGCTCTTATGAAGCCAGATACTAATACTATGAATACCAATGTACTGCTTCAGTGGTGCCACTGATTCCATAATTTGTCCATAATTACTAATGCTTCAGCCTTATATATCCTACCTTAAGTATGATTTTTGCTTTACTAGGCCATCTGTGGTTAACATATATGCCAAACGAAACCGGAATTATAAGAGCTACCAGTGAAATTCCTGCAAAAAAGAAGAGAGAAGAGGAGTCAAGCCCAGGTATCGTGCAGAAGTTCATGACTGTAGGACAGACACCGTGTAGAGAGGTTGGGGTACAGAGCAAGTCTTCAGAAGATGTTTCTGGTATGTGCACCCCAAAGCACTCACGCATGCTCTACCCACACCTGCCCATTTGCTTTTCTATAGAGTCTGTTATCTTTGGCAGCCTGTTGAAGTAATTGCCATTCTGCTGAGCTACATGCTCATTCACCTGCATCAGAAAGGCAGACAGAAATTTGAGTGTGCTAATCATCGCTATCCTGTGATGTGAGTAGCTATATTAAATGTTCATTTCGTCTGCAGGTGTTTCGCTACTGTACCATATCGACAACCGGTTTAGAGCTTCTTTTGTTTTGGTCTCCCCCCTTCAGTATTTATTTTGAATGCACAAGCAATGTATGTGATTTTTTTTTTCGCCAGGACAATGGGAAATGAAATTGAAGAATATGAAAGTGACTCTGCTGGCTTTTAAGATTAGCATAGCATGGAACCGTACTTGATAAGCACTAGGGCCACAGCTCTGCAAAGCACTGGAGCATGTATTTCTAAATGCTTGGACTATTTTCTCTTTGTAGCTGGATGAGATTTTTGACAGGAAGTCAAATGAAGCCACTCCTGGCGGTGTAGATTGCAGCTTTTCAAAGAGACTCAGCAGTTTTAATCACTTGCTTAATTATCCACATGTGCTTAAGTACTTTGCCAGATTATGGCCTCAGCACTTAGCACTTTGCAGGATTGTGCCTTAAAGCTGTTACAAACAATTTCATGCAGGGGAAGAAACTATTCCTGTATGAATTATTCTATATTCTTATCCCAGTATCACACAGGTCTCCAAACCATTTGGAAAGAAAAACATGCACAATCTCATGGTAAATATCTTTACAATATTTATAGTGACTTCAAGTCTTTGTTGGATGACGTGAAGGGATCTAGGTACCTAATTCCCATGGAAGTTATTGGAAAGTAGGAGGATGAATATTTTTTAAAAATCTGGGGTCATTTCTTCATGACTCTGCAGGATGATGGTATAAAGGGGGTTGTTACTAGAGTGAGGATAAAGGAGAGAGTCAGAAGGTAAAGAGCTGATGTACTGGACTCACCAATGCTGTCATAGGGGAGTACAATTGTGTTAGAATCAGTCCACATCTTGGTGTAAACAAAGAGGCAAAGTGGCATCATCCCCATTGCAAGCAGCGTGGAGCAAGTTGTCATGCTGATGCTGCAAAGAAATTGGTTAGAGTGACAGTTTATCTCATGCTAGCCTATAGTCTTTCTCATTTTCTTATTACAACTTAACAGCTTATGCAAGGTTGGACAAGAAATGCTGCCAGCTACAGTCAGTTTATCCTGTATATCAGGTTAGAAAAAGTCTAAACGGAGGGAATGGTTTTCACTGAAAAAAAAAGGAACATTAAATATCAATGTGCTCTGCAGCCACAGAACAATAACTTTCAGTGCAAATGAGGCAGTCAGACAGGCGGCTATCAGGAAGATCTGTTGGCAAGTCCATCTGCATGCTGCCTGTCCGTCTGGCTTCTGAGAGGGTGGCAAGCTGGCCAGGGTCAGATGGACATCAAATGGAGCTTTCCATTATACCAGCAGTTCTGGACTGTTAAAAATTCACTTCAAAGTCAACAACACAAAGGAAAAAGTTTCATTGTCTAGGATGCATGATGTAATATAATTCACTTTTTTTCTGGACTGTTTTGCTCTAGGCCAAATAGTAGGTGATGAGAATTACTCAGTGAATCTGAACGCAAATATTGTTGTTTCCTTGGTTTTTGCGAAGACATTTCTGTTTTAAGATATAAAGTCTTGAAATCATCAGGCCTGATGCACCTTGTACTAAAAGATGCATTCTGCTACAGGAATGAAGAAGGAGAAGACAGCAAAAATAAGGAGGAAACTCTCAGAATTCAAGTAGAATTGGTAAAATTATGCCTACAAATCACATGCCTCTGACATAAAAATCATGAGACAGGGTTCTAGTTAAGGGAATTTGGAAACTTCCTTATGAGCCTCATTTCTGATTTCTCTTTTGTGTGGCTTGCCCTCAGAAAAGGGACTGCTGACTCCGTCCCACAAACTGGGCAGATGCAGACAAACCTAGAACAATTAATACAGAAACCACAGGAATACTTGTATTAGTTTTGGTTTCTGTCACTCTGCTTCAGAGCTGTTGGATATAACTTGGCAGGAACCTCTGGCAAGAGAGCTCCTACACACAGAGAAAAAATGAAACATGGGTTACAATTAAGGTCAGGTGAAGCCCCAAATGGATAAAAGAGCTTATTTTCCCTACCTCCATATTTCCTACATCTTCTTAAGTGTCCCTGTGTCTACTACGTCCTGATCTAAGGTCTGCCTGTTCTCTAAGCCCAGTCCCTGTTCTTGCAGAAGCTACCCGGGGAGCTGTGGGAGGAGATGGTGTTTCAGAAGCAGTTGTTCTTGTGAAATATCAAGACATGTCAAAAACAGGTGTCCCTATGGGAAGCTTTAGAGGATATAATTTGTGTCTGAGTTACTAAGAAAGGTATAAAACCTCATATTTCACCTCCCTGTGATTATATGAGCAGTAAAAAATTAATTCCTGCTCTGAATTGTGGTCTCCTGGCACTGGGATATTCTGAAGCAGGACTAAAGACAATGGTGAGTTGTTATGTAGAAATGTAAAACACTATCAGTTAAAAGGAAAACCTTGGTTTGATATGATGGGCAGGCTTTCTATAATGCTGTGCTGACTCCAGAAACCAGCCAAGCTACTTACACTCTTATTCTTCTATTAAGAACTGAAGATGCTTGCATAGCCGTCTCTGCTGTACCTCCCATATCCTCTGGTGCCTGTGTTATTGTCACAAAGATCCTGACCAAAAGCCTTTGATTTCTTAAGGTCTTTACCTGAAGAATGATCTTTTATATGTATTTTCAATTTACTTCACTGTCTGCCAGTGTCATGGGATATAAACCCTACTCGTATTTATAGCATCATCAATTGGGATTTTTACCACTAATTTCAGTGGAACAACTCAGAACACACAGAGCTGAGAGAGCTTTGTTTAGCTTAGTGTATTCTTCCAAGGAAAGATTAGGAGAGAATTTCAGACTTGGGCTGGATATCTTTCCACCTGTGATTTCTTAGACCTGTATTTATTGAAATAGTGTCTTACAGTTTCTAATATTATAGGTCTTTCCTCCACAGTGAGGAAGTTGTTGATAGCAGAGCTGACTTCATACATAATTTGAAAGCAGGTATTACATTAACACCTGTATGTGACAGAAAAGTTCACTATTTTCAAAGGATGGAAAAAATGTCTTATTAAATCTACAAATATTAACATTCTTAGTCTATTCATCCTAGCTCCACATCTTTCTTGCTTCTATTATTTTTTCCATTTCTAGTTCAGACTGGCGTATGATAAATTGGATGAACGCTCCAATTTATGTTACTCTGTGGGAAACAGAGAAATGATCCTGTTTATTTTAGAGCAAAGTAATCAGGATATAAAAATGAAAAGACGGCTCATTTTTAAAGGCTATTAGAGTTAATGAACCCCCCATGGAATTTGCATCAAGAATATGGTTCACTTCTCCTGCATGTTTGATGTTGTAGACCACGCCAGGTGCCTTACATACCTGTTTCTGAGTTCAGAGCACCCTGTCCCTGAGACCATCACACTTAGCCACAAAGGAATTTTTTCATTGCACCCTGTATGCAGGGCTGCGTTACTCAATGGCTTCTAGCCTGTAAAACTTTCCCTCAGTTTGAAGACTTTGCAGAAGGTGCCAGGAGCAGATAGAATTACTGCAAGTGATTTTCATTTGTAGTAGTTCCCAAGGAGAAAATCTATGCCTGTCTATTCATTGTATAGAACACAAAAGGAGGGAAAATATTTTTCTACAGGTGGTCTTTTTCAAGAAACATTGGTTCAAGAACTATTGCATAGCCACTCTTTTATACACAGGATTCAGGTCCTAAATTCCTTTTTTATTTTTTTTTTTTACTTCCCAAGATCTTGCGAGAAACAAAACCACAAAAGTAGTTCGAACTTGGACAAAGGTTTCATAATTCTTAGTATTTTAGATGCCTTCATCAATGCTATTTTCTGCAGCATCTGAAGTTTACAACAAAGACATTTTCTAATATACACAATTCTGTTGTGTTATTTTCCTCATGAATTCTCAATGAACCAAGGATATTTGCTATTCTGCTTATATTTACCGCTATCAGAGTAACTAAACATCTTTACAAGAAGGAAGCTCCACCATGCGTGGGCCAGGAAGGTAAGAAAAAGAATCAGTCCTTTTCAATATAAAGTTTACACTGTAAAAAACCACATGAACTATTTAGAAAATGGCTGTTCTTACCTTAGGTCCATGTCTCCATCTACCCAGTAGGCGATGACATTGGAGGCTGTGCCCCCTGGACAGCATCCCATGATCAGCACCACAACAGCTTGAATAGGAAGCACATTAAAGACCAGGGACAACAAGAAGGCTGTGAGAGGCATAATTCCAAACTGGCAAAGGAAACCCACAAAAATACCCCAGGGTCTTTTTATGTGGCCCCAGAATTTCTTAAGTTCCACATTGCAACCCATGGAGAACATCACCAAAGCCAGCATGACTGTTAGAACAGAACTTAAAATTATGCTCAAAGTTTCATTAAAATTATCTTCTGGTAACACACAAGAGGTGCCATTGCAAACAGTAGCATTTGCTGGACAAGCCGTAGAGTTTTCTGCCAAAGACCTAGCGCTAAATTTCTGGGAAAGAAGGTATGTCTGCATTTTGAAATACAGAACTGCTCAGTACATCCGAGGCAAATTTTCAAGCCTGTGTAAATGGTTGTTTGTCAGTGAGTCCTTTTAAATGATCCAGGAAGCAATAAAGTGCAATAAATACTTGAACACTGTTACTATTCTTGAAGGGTTTGGCACAGTGCTGATTCACATAGTTATAAAAGTTGCACTTGCTATGGTGACAATTAATCATTTATTCATATGATAATGAGGAATCCCACATCAAGAGAATAGCTGTGTGAATATTTAAGGGTGTAGCTGAGCACACAAAATGAGAATCATAGGAGGAAGAGGAAGTTTAGACTTCATTCTTTGAATTTCTTGCGTGCCTTTGGGAGAGCTGCTCATGTATGCACTCTCACTGGCATTACTGGGTCTGTGGGGCGGAAAGGAGCGCCTGAGACTTGAGAAACCACAAGCAGAAGTCCTGAGCCAGGGTTTGAAGCTGCAACTGTTGCTAAGTGATGCAGCATTCACCATGACACACAGGTTCATTTGAACGTAGTGAGATCCTCATTAGGTCATATTTCTAGTATAATAGAAGTTATGACTGGTGTACAGTGACAACTCTACCACAGGGCTGCATGCGTATTTGTGTCAATTTTGGCTCCTAAATGCAACTTTTACGTAATATTTCAGATTTCTTCTCAGCTTCCACGTAACCCTGAAGATGGTGAGGATCCCTGGCTGCAAGGTGATGCAGTCTGATAAAACATCACCTGTATTTTTGGCTTTGGCACGTGGAGAACTGCCGCTGCCCTGACATCTCCATGTCCCTCCAGACCAGGAACTGTCTGACCACCTGGTGGCTGCTCTTCCCCACTCTTGTCTCACCTTACTCCTGGCCACATCTACCTCCATCCTGAGCTCATCAGTTGGGGAAAGGAGGAGAGGGGAATCACAGAATCACAGAAT